CAGAGTTACTCTTTTCAATGTTCACGATAGTTTTATGATAACATATGCCTGTCGGTATTATTGGTAACCGCGTCGGTATGTATCATCGGTAACCGTGCCGATATATGGATTAAATCTCGGGCTGCTGGCGCGTGATAGTAGGAGGCGGCCTGAGGAGAACTACTTCTCCTCACGGCGTACGATATGGTGCTCCGTACTGTACATACGCGACTAGCAATATAAGGCGATTTTTGGCGATCGTATGGTACATATACCAAAGTGTACTAAACTATAGTTTGAGTGACTTCAAATTATAGTTTGGTACACTTTGGTATATGTACCATACGATCGCCAAAAATCGCCTATAGAAGTATTACATATATGGTAACGGTGGAACATGTGTTCACACGTACTTACTCACCATCTCACTCACACATTCGTATTTAGTTCATATTCCAGACAGAAGTGTTCTCAGTTTTGGCTCTCTTAAGCCCATTCTACATTGATCGCAAGCGCAAACGCAAGATATAGATCTCGTAGAATTGACCAATCACGCTGGTCAATCGGCTGATTTGATCAATACGATTAGTCAAGTCTACCAGACCTGTTCCTTGCGTTTGCGCTTGCGATCAATGTAGAACAGGCTTTACAGCATCCCTTCCACCGCTTCAGCATGCTGTAAGAAAACCAAAACTGAGAACACTGCCAGACGGTATTTAAATAGGAGGCGCCACTAACGCTGGTACACGCAGTTTGGTGGCCCTGTTTATGACCTTTGAATCCTTCGACTTTTGTAAACGGGGCTTTACCGCCACTTGCTATCGCCGATCGCATCGTTGACCGTCGTCTCCGCGCACAAACCAATCGCGGACAGGTGCCAACATGGCTGCCACTGTACTGCCTACTCGTCTTCTCGTGACATCGCCCTTTGTCTCATCAGCATTCGTTTAATTGACGCAAACATCGAAAAGCACCGATCAGCCGATCGAAAGAGACGGACGACGCTTTAAATGGAACAGCGAACTTCAATGGAAGAATTCAGCTAGCAAAATGTCAACCAGATCGCAACTTACGAAGGATTTAAACGGTTCGTCTCTTTTCAGCCCAAGTGTTTATGTTCACTCGCGTTGATCGGACGAACTGTCATCCGTCCTCGACTCGAGTTACTTTGATGACCGCCAATCGTGATCTCCTTATTCTTCTTTTATCACGAACTATAAATTTCGTAATTAATTACCGTGTCATTTTGTGTATTTTCTGACAAATATGTGAAAATGCAATGTTTTGCGCTAGTTTTTTCTTTGACACAATACTTAAGGCGCGTAAGGGTTACCGCTATGTGAATTATTCATTGCTTGCAGAATCGGTGAAAGCGCTACTTGGCAAACATGTGAAAATACTATTAAAAAACGTGGTGAAATTGGAAACCAAGCAAGATAAGCAGGAAAATCGTGTTCTTGTAAGTAATCCTTTTCTCTTGTTCTTCTTTTTTTCATATGTTAATTTATATTTTGTGTAACTGGATTTTTTCACACAAGGTATTTTCACCATGTCGCCTTTTTCTCCTATCGGCCAAAGTACCCACAAGAGTAAGTCTAACATTACTTTTATTTCCTTTTGTTTCACTCTCACTCGCTGTAATGCAGTGATTCAATGTGTTACTTTTTCACAGATCGACTGCCATTTTCATTACCTAGAAATAACGGCCATAGAGTCAAGAAGAGCAAATCAACTATGCTTGACTGTTGGAGACAGATTTTACAACTTTACCACCACCAGTGTAGGCGGAGACACCACGGAGGTGGATGCCATGATAGAGGCCTTACATACGGCTATTCGAAATATCTTTCCTACAGTATCACTAAAGTATGTGATATATGTTTTCCTTTGTTGATCACAAAACATTTATTGATTTGATTTTTTATATGATTCTTAATTTTGTCAGTTACATTATACGAAAAATAGAAGTAATACCAGCTAGCAGATTGCAAAGTATACGAGGAAGTGAGTTGGCAAGAAGCACAGAAGCCACACGGCATACAGGGCCGTGCGGTGGTTTTTCTACTCAATATGCGTGCATGTGTGATCTGCATGGTGTTCCGTACAGAGAGGAAGTGGCATGGGTGAGATCATCATCCCTTGAAATTATCCTACTAATGCAGACTTGTCCGATGTGAAAATCTTATTCAGAAAGATAAAAAATTTCAGGACGTTGACACGATATATCTTTCGCACGACACGAGAGAGTTGAACTTGAGAGATTTCGATCATTTAGATCAGAAGGATCTGGTACCAATTATCTCGGCCTTGGAATACAATACGTGGTTCACTAAATTAAGAGCATCCCATCTCAAGTTAAGCCATGAACCTCTAGAGAGATTGTTGCATGTTATGAGGAGATCCTTGTCCATCCAGGAGCTTTATTTAGACAATCTTGGGATTAAATGGTAATGACACGGGTGATAGTTTTATTTTTCTCACAAAAGAGTAATGCATGTTCATATAATATACAAATATTCGGTTTTAAAGGGATTTCGCTCACAAGCTGTCGTTAGCATTAATTTCTAACGCCAACACGATGCTGCAAACGATAGATCTATCACACAACACGATCGAAGACAAAGGTATATCGATGTTTAGTAATTTATAGTACGCACCGTTTTGTAATCTTCATTTACACGTTCATTAAATCTACACTCATTAGAAAGTATCTTTATTTCCTCCCCATGTTTCCCGTTATCAATCATTAATTTGTATCTTGAACAAATTTTCTTTTTATATTTTTTGTAGGAGCCTTTAGTTTGTGTGGGATAATAGCCAAGCTAATGCAAGGTGTGCAATAATCACATAATTTTATTATCCCTAGTAAATACTAATATTTAACACGCTTTTTATATCTAGTTTTTTTTTTTTTTTTATACACTACTTGTTTTACGTTTTCAGATTTCTTAATATTTGTTCTTTCGTTCTCTCTTATGTTAAATTATCTCAGACAATTGTTTCGCCGAAACAAATAATGTTGACATCTGCGATTGGAAATAAATAATTTTTATAATTTATATTTATTGATCTTGATAATATACTATTCGACATTTTTTGTGATTTTAAGGTGCCGCGCATCTGAGCGGTCCCATCGGAAAGTTGCCTAAAGGTCTACAGAAACTGAATTTGGCTCACTGTGGACTGACCGGGAAAGGTGTAGGACAAATAGCGCATGCATTAAGTTTGAACAGGACCATGCCGACTAGTTTGCGATATCTGAATCTTTCGGAGAACACCTTGAAAGACGACATCAATGTAAGTTTGCGGAAAAAAAAACAACAAGAATTATTTACTCAACTTAAATCCAGGAAGACGATCTAATTTGTATACGTACGTTGTTGCAGAATTTGTGCAATTTCTTAGCGCAACCTAATAGTTTAACTCATCTAGATCTTAGTGGTACGGACACTACTTTAGAATGTGTAAGTAATTAATTATGTATTTTCTTCCAAACATATAATTTTTATATATTCATTATAATCAAAATTTTTGAATAATTAAATATTATTAAGTTATTTTCTCTTTTGAACTTCCGTTTTTTTTTTCAGTTGTTCGGTGCATTATTACGAGGTTGTGCTACTAATCTAGTCCATCTGAATGTTGCCCGGAATTCGTTTTCGAGCAAAAAAACCAAAGAGATACCTCCGAGTTTTAAGCAATTCTTCACGGCAACTCTCTCACTCAAGTACTTAAATATATCTTCATGTAAATTACCGTTGGAGGCATTGAAACACCTACTGCTCGGTCTGGCGTGTAACGAAAGTACCGTTGGCCTAGAACTTGATATGAGTGGAAATAATTTGGGTTCCATGGGCGCCCACGTTTTGGAGTCATGCATTCACGGAGTTCGATGTATAGCATCGCTGGATATATCGGACAGCAGTGCGTAAACTGAATTATACATTAAATTTCCGATAAGTATGTCACGAGACAGTTTTTTTTTTACTAGAAAATGAAAGAAAGTTACCTTTGGAATTTTTTTTTATTTTAACAGTGCTTTCTATAAATCTGAAATTTGTTTCATGCATAAAAAAAGAAATATAAAGAGATTTATTTATTATCTTTCGTATATTCCATATGAACTCATGTTTCCGCAGACATGGACGTCGATTTGGCGCAAGTCATAACAGCTGTAGGCAAAAACAAATCGATAAAGCAATTGTACATGGGACGCAACACCGTCAGTATGAAGAGCAAGCACATAGCTGTCGTGATGGACGCTCTGGTACAAATGCTTCAGGAGGACGATTGTGTTCTCCAAGCGTTACACCTGCCTGACTCCAGATTAAAGGGTGATCTCTACAACTTGATCAATGCTCTTGGTAGCAATACATGTCTTCAAACTCTGGATATTAGTGGCAATCAAATAGGTGATCCTGGTGCGAGACTGTTGGCCAAAGCATTGCAAATCAATAATCATTTACGGACCATTATATACGATAAAAATAACATCACGTTGCAAGGTTACGCGGACATCGTTCATGCTCTAGAGAAGTATGAATACATTGCATTGGAATAACAAATATAATATAGATTAACAGATAGAGTTGTATGTGTATAATTTATATAAATTTGAGAGAGAGAGAAAGAGAACAATATTTATAACAAAGTTATCTTTTATAGGAATTGTAGTGTGCGACACATGCCGTTTCCAATCTATGATCTCCAACCTTGTATGAAAACTTCCGCGGAGAAAACGGAACAGTTGGCCAAAAAGATTCAAGATCTGTTACAAAGAAACGTCACGCCATGCAAATACAGTCACGGGCAAGCGTTTAGGTTGCAGCAAGGATTTCTGTTGAGCTCTACGCAACAAATGGTAGACAGACTTGTCGTTCAAACGCAAGATACCATTAAGGCGCTTGCAGCGGAAAGTTGTGACGCCAATAACGACATTAATTACGCCACTGGGGTTATACAAGATGCGGATAATTCTAAACAGGTACTGCGACGTAATTCAAAGATTTACGATTTTACTGGTTTGTTCAGATTTATTTATTTCGTCTTACGTTAAGAAATTTGAAATATCACGGCACAGTAGCTGAAGATAATTTATGTTTTCTAGTTACTTCCAAGATTACACGAGGTACTTCAAAGACGAGATGAAAATAATCCAATTGAGCTAAAATTACACGATATGGCAAATGAAATTCACAAAGTTGTGACAGTGTATCTTCAGGTATAAAGTTTATTAATATTCATATTGGTTGGGTTGCATGTTACTACTCAATATTTATATATTGATGTACTTAAGCCAATGGCACGCAGTGCGTTTTTTACTGGATCGCTATCTGGATTTGTCTGCTCGCTGCCGCACACTTGCAGCAGTATAAGAAATGATAAATCTCTCTCTATCTCTGGTAGAGATTTTAAAGAGACACTCGTCAATTTTGATTAATCTATTAAAATCACGATGAGTCGGCGAGGCTCTTTTTTTTTTTTCCCCCTGTAGACTTTAAAGGGAACTATTCGCTCGAATGTATTTGATCACGTGACATGAGATTGAATCCTGATTGGCTCTCGCAAAGAGCTAAAAAAATTCAATACAGCAGCAATGTGGCCAGCAGACATTCCCAGCAAGACAAAACAGAAGCACGCAAGCAATCCAATAAGCAGAAACGTGATATGTTGCTTAGTTTTATATATAATTTAATTTAAGTTAAAGTAAGCTAGTTTTATTATTTAATTTTTATTATTTAATTATTTACAAATTTATAACGATTGATGCAGGATTCCTTGGACGCAATGTTAAAGTGTGCAAATGAGCAATGCCCTACGATACTGTCGCAAACGGTGATCAGAGGCGACGAGAGCGAGCCGATCGCAGTGGAAGATGATCTTCGTAACACGTGCAAAGAAAAGAATCAAATTAATAATGAATTCATACATACCACCATTACTGAACAAGCTGGCGCGGATATTGTTAACAGAGTCAAGTAATTATAACAATTTTTTTATGTTACTTAGCGTTACTCTTTTTAAGGATTTTGTTTATTCAATTATTTTTCTTTTCAAATTAGTGAGCTCAATTTGGCAGTAGCGGCGCATATATCTGATAGAATTACGGATGAAGTAATCGAATCGTTGTCAAGAAGTTATAAAACTCTGGTAAGTTTAATAAAAAAAAAAAAAAAAGAAAAGATACAGCTTTTATCTAATATATGAAATAAAAATTTATAAAATTAATAAAATTATTTTAGATCGGTGATTGTGATAGTCGAACGAGAAGCAGTACACCAGACGTTTTACGACCTAGTGCTGGTTCGATAAGTAGCGGAAGCGTAATAGGCGTAACTAGCGCGAGTGGTGTGTCTATGACTTTACCTCCCGGCAGAGCTAGTCTTGTATCTGAAGAAGATTGTCCGCCGGAAACATGTTCATTGGCAAATTCGATTGGTCAATGCATCGATCAGTCACCAATGGTAAGAAGAAATATCAAATGATATGCACACGCATGTGTTCTTGATAAGAAACGGAATCATAAATTACTTTCATTATTTTCATGCTTACTTAGAAATTGGATTATCTTAATCTGGTAGGTAGTTAAAACAAAGATATAGTAATGTGTAATAAACAAATGTTTCATAATATAATTCATTGTATACATATCGTATTCATGATATAATTCATCGTATGACACGCAATATATATTTTTTTAATATTTAGGCAACACCACATTTGTCGAATAAACGTAAAAGTCTACATGGAAGGAAATTGAGACCTAAATCTGTAGTGGATTCAGTAGAGGGATTGTCTGCCGATGATATTCCGGATCTCTTGCCGTCGTTACCGAAAAATCAAACAGAAGGTTTGTATTGGTCACACGCCGTCGTAAATCTATCAAAAATCGCAAAACGTAATTTGTTTTTTTTTACAGCTATCTCAGAAACCGAGCATTCATTGACGGAGTCGTTGGATTCCGTCTCGGAATTGCCGAATACCGTAGGTCAGCAGTTGCAACATCTGGTCAAGTCCAGACCGCGTAGAACGAAGACGAGGGCACCTACGAGACCAATGTTAAGACCAGATCAACCGATCGACGGTCTTGCTCTTGGCGAGGGTCTCGACGTGTTTTTCCGACCTACTACACCGACTACGCCTTTGATATCGCCTACGAGTGATGACAGGTATTTTTTTACAAAGTATAATTTTCTTAAATTTAGTAGACCAGAACTCTAGTTAATATTTATCTAATATTTGTCTTGTAATTTATAGCTCTTTGCACACTTTTCCGACGGATGGCAGTCCTAATCTATCACTGACGAGTCACAAGAGCATTCCGCCGGATATGGAAAAGAAACACAGCTGCAACTCGCCGATGTTAAAAACGCTCTTAGAACCCGCTCCGCGTTCTCGGTCCAGCGACAATTTGGAGAAATTTTCTCCTCTTGTCGGTAGAAGATCTCAAGGGGATTCTCCGCTAACCGCGTCACCGCTTGCCCGAAGAAATACAACAGATAGTGCTCAGACTCACGAGAGATCCAAAGCCGAAGTCTTTACAAAAGAGATTTGCAACAACTCTGTTACGACCGACACGAGCGACGATTCTAAACGCAGCACGTTGACAAATGTATCTAGCATGAGTCCGCATGGCTCACGCGACATCGACGACTTCGGAGCGAGCACGTCAGAAAAGGATGCGGTATCGAAAGACCAGGAAAGTCGTAAGAACACTGTGAAGAAATCCACACCCGATGCAGAAAAATCATCGACGTCTGTCAAATTACGCTCAACCAATCACGATCTGAGAAGTCCCATAAATGGTGGCGGCAGCGGTGGTACAAAAAATACATCCGATTCAGCCAAATCTCCTATATTGAAGCCGTTAATAAAGAGTGGCGGATCCACAAGCGACGGAAAGAGCAATGGCGCACTTTTGAAGAATAAGCCCATCCCGCCAGCGACAGCACCTAAACCGCGACCATGGAGCATGGCTACCGATCGAAAATCTGGTACATTTTGCATATTCGAATATAAAAAATAAAAACAAAGTAACACAACAGTTTGTATCTTAAATAAATATTAAATTGTCGGTTTTATTTAATTTATAGGGGAATTTAGTTTGTTGAGCGACGGCTCTAGTCCGAACACTTCGGCTGGCAATACACCTGATTCCGGAGACGCTCTCGATGAGTCAACCGACAGCGGCGTCAGCGGACCAGCTTCCCTGCCGCCGACGTTATCAGCGAGCAGCACCGCGAGCTCGTTGAGTAACACGAGCGTGGAAAAGAGATCGGTGAGAGAATTAGCTGCGAGCTTGAATAAGAGCAAAGCGGACAGAAAGGAAAATGGTAAGTGGCGTCCGATGAATCGACTGCCGATTTTTTTTCTGTATCGCATGGTTGAGTTTTTAACGATTAATCGTACATTGTTTTATTCACGCATCATCTGAACGCGCATCCTTGTCCTTCTTTGTAAAGCGCTAAAACAAACACGCATGTCAACCCTTTTATTCGCAAACCTCGCCTATTTATTTTAGAGCATACCGCACCCTCAGCATGGCGATCGCTGCTTCAACGTTCAGTCGACCGAACAGAGCCCAAGGTATTTTGTGATATATATTTTATTTATTTGTTTCCTTAAATACACAATCCTGTGGTTTTTTGTTTTTAATTTTGAATAACCGCTCGTAGTGCCATGTTACTGCCCATGTCGTTGACCGTCGAGGTAGACAAAACGCAATCTTATATTAACGAGTAATGCGATATATAATTTACATATTATTTAGAAAACAATTAATAACGAATATAGATAATTTATATGTGATTATTTTATTAATATGAATCACTGAAGTGATCACAAAAAATTATTTGTAACATAATTTATTAATTCTAAACTTATACATATATGTATTATCGTACAAACAAAGAACGTGTAACAAATGTAATATAAATTTGCCGCATTGTTGGCGTTGCAGGTAACGGAAACCCAGAAAATGGTTGAAGAAAATCGTCCCAGCTTTAAACTTCGTCGCACATCATTTTTGCGCGATTCAAACTTTAACTACAACAATAACGATGTAGTTGACGTTTGATCCGATTAATCATAGCGATCGCGGCGTACGTTGCAAACAAAATATATCTTCCTCCGTATGCTGACACACCGACTGTTTGGCACACGAGATAACAATACTTCTTTGTGCCATAAAAGAAATCTCACTGTGTATATAATAATATATATATATAAAGAAATATATGTATCGACCGGTTTTAACATTTTAGAGACAGGGTACTGAAAGTTTTTACGGCAATTAAAGTACTAATCAGTTGTTAAGATGACATTAGAGAATTTTATACTAGTTTTATATAACGTTTTGCGTTTTTGCGCACAGCTACATTTCGACTTACAATTAGTCGTTTACTCACATTTACACGTATTATTCATGCAAACGCCTTATTCATATATTTCACACATAACTGAGACCAATTATGTTTTAGTCTCTCGAAAATGTTTACTAAAAATATTTAAACTTCCAACAAAGTCACGTTTTATTTGTCAGATTTTTAGCAAGCAATAACGTTATTTTTGTTGCGTGAAGATATTAGCAAAAGTATTCTTATTCGACGATATATATATATATATATTATATATATATTCCAATTTTTACATATTTATACATTATCGTGTTTCTTTATGCATTTTAATAGCGCAAATTCTAGACTCTCTTGTTCAGAATAGACAAGAGTTACACATCACAGTTTTAGCAAAATGAACTGAATCAGCTTCATTTTAAATGGAAAATTGTTCACGAACAGTGGCAACTAAAATAGAGTAATATACATTTTGCGTAAAGAAAGGATAGGTGTCTTCCACGATCATGCAGAAAACTTATTAGTTAAGTGATACATTCATGCACATTTTTGTTATTCGAGCAATTAATGTACATTCTAATATTTGTTACCTGCGGCTCTTTTTTAATCTGTGATTTATTCATAAAAATATTTACACACAAGATTTAATAATATTAGCTAAAATTTCTAAGGCAGCAATATGTTTCACATCTACATATATCCAATAACAAACAAATGAGTTTTTGTAATTTTTATTCAGTAAATTCTCAGTGGCAGCTATTATTATAGTTTATTACTTGTCAAAGTATAGGGGTGAGATAACTGTCTCACTGGAATTGATAAATCGTATAAAGTGAGAAAAACTCTTTGGCAGATGAATTGATTCGATCACACTTACACGCGTTAGTTTTTATGTCGATTATTTTTTGAGAAATATTTCTCAAAAGTCTTTCAAACAAGTTTATATACACTTTTTGTGAAAAATTAACTTAACTCTTATAAGGCAATAATATACAATTGTAAGCATAGAAAATTTGAAAAATATTTAATATTATATTTCTACGCAAGCACATGTTTGTGTGCGCTCACACATGCGTGTTTTTAATTCTCTTATAAATATATATTATTATCGGAAAATATAAAAAGCACTCTAGATATATCTCGTCGTGTTCAATTTGAATAAAACTAACATATACAAAATTATTTCTTAAAATATTTCATGCTGCGCAATCTTTTAGAGAACAATTGTTTGATAATAAAACAGAAACTATATTATTTACAAGTGCAAGAGAGTTAAATCGATAAAGTTTATATAATCTCATATTGAAAAACTTTGGTCTCTATATAGCGACAAACGCGTGTATATACATTATATATATATATATGTAAAAAAAAAGACTCATGTATAGGTAAAATATATAATCCGTAGGAAATTTGCCATTCTTATGATCAAGGAAAAGGCGAGACGTTCAAATTTCGAAACATCTGAACGTCTTATATGTGAATTTTTTACCGTTTAGCTTTATCATAACAATATCGATACCAATTCCTTATGCAGGTAACATACAGACAGGTGCGTTAATGTCTTTGACAAATGAAGTTGCGCTTTTCATTGTTAAGATATTATTGAGGCATTATTGGTGCAACTTCATGCGTGAAGACATGAAATGTCCCCCTGCCTGTACATAGTACATAAGACATGTGATCGTTGCATTTTATCACGATATTATTAAATATTAACACAGCGTGAGCATTCTTCCTCTCTAACGTTGAAGCGAAATATTGAGCGCAGAGTATTAAAGCATTTGTGTTACTAAAATCTGTGTGCGTGTGAATGTGTGCGCGTGTGTATGGATATGCGCGCTATGTACTGCAAGCATATATGTACTAATAAGCGTAAAAATGCGATCGTCTAACATATGCAAAATATATGAAACAGCCATATATTCACGTATATTATGCGAATCTACATAAGAAGTCTTCAAACACAGCCGTTGGTCCTAAAAAAATAAGGCATTTCTCTTAACTATATATATGTGTGTATGTATATATATACATATATATATGTGTATATATATTATATATATATATATATATAATATATTATATATATACATATATATAATATATTATATATATACATATTATATACATAGTATATACATATATATATGTTAGCGTCAAAACCCGAAGTCCCGTCAGTTTTAGGATTGACTGGTCAATGCCCGAAAAATCTAACCTAACCCTAACCTTTTTTTCGGGTATTGACCAGTCAATCCTAAAACTGCCGGGACTCCGAGTTTTGACGCTAACATATATATATGAATCATATAAGAAAAGACGCGTTTTTGCTAAACTTGTATGGTCTACTTAGATTATAATCGTAAAGAACGTGTCGTTATTGATACTTAATCGATCCAACTCGAGAGAAATAGCGTTACTTATAATATATATAAAAGCATCTTTATACAATACTAATTTTAGGCACATGTTTTTCGACGATTTACTCGGGACTTTTGTCTTAGAGCAGAAATGCTGATATTCTTAAATGCACAGTCGTGTGTACCCGACTAAAAACTTACACATATATAAACTTACATACATTTACAACATTAGAAGTGATTTTTATATGCAACATATGTTATGCGATGCGCGTGATAAGTATTTTATTGATTGTAAAGAAAAAAAACATAAATAATGTGCGTATTCGGAAAGAAGATTGACGTTACCGCGAGTGTTAAAATGAACTCTGCGTATTCCTGTGTGCCAAGGTGTTTACAAAACAATCACTCACTTTTTTATAAAACGCAACATAATACACAAAAAGAGACTCAAAAAAAAATTTATTACGTTTCATTTTTGAACTATTTATCGTCTGTAGCACCGTTTATATATAAATTTGTGACATTTGACATTGCGCGTCGTTTATATATATAAAATTGTGACATTTGTTTGCGCGCGTATCCGTAAATACATAAACATAATTTAATAATAGATTGTAAATAAAATGTTAGAGTTAGGAAATTTCCCGTTTTATTACACATTATTGGGGTTACATCACATGGAATTGTGTATATGTGTGTATATATAAATTATATGCACATGTATAGATACAAAAAGAGATTTAAAACTGCGTATGAGTGACATGTGTGTATGCATGTGGTTATAGCGATAAGATATATACATATATATAGATATATAATATATAGTACATTTAAATCTACAATATATACATTCCTGTGTATACATACATATTATATGTATACATATAGTATATATATATATACATATATGTACTATGCAAAAATATGCAAGATAAGTATATACTGAAGTATATTAATATTTAAAAAAATTGTTACGACACGTTTGAAACACAGTCGGATAATTAACGACGTAACATTTTTGCGAACTGTTTGGTAGTCGGCTTATAGAGGCGCGAATATAACCTGTTAACAACAAATAAAAATAAAGACTCGTATCCACATGCAGGAAAACGTGACTTTTGTGTCCTCCGACTTTTTGACTCATTAATCTGAAAAAAATAGTGCAAACCTCTCTCAATGATCTGCCACTGACAAGATGTCCTGCGATAATTTGTACACACACACATACGTCACATGGATGGAACTGGAATGGGACTGTCAGCTGCTGCCATCAGCTGTAACTGCGATACGAGCGGTGAAAAAGAGCTAGATGCTATCCCGTATTCGCGTGGAATGGCAGGTTGTGCGCTCGATGACGCGTGATGATCGCATAATCGGCGTACCGTATTCACGTGGACATCACTAGGTTTTCCGAACAAAAAAAAAGCGCGAAAATGACACGTACAAAAACAGAGAAAAACGGGAACGGCGGCAAGTGCGAGGTTAGCGTGTGGACACGTGCGATCACAGCGAATTCCGAATGGCCGGACAAGGTAAATATAACCTCGAACATCGTTTGACATGTTTTCTATTTTTCTTTTTTTTTTTTAATATTCGGTATTGCAGGAAGAATTTCTTGACGTAATATATTGGGCGAGACAAGCGATCGGTATTATCGTTGGAATAGGATGGGGCCTTATACCTTTAAAAGGTTTTCTAGCTCTATTATTGTAAGTAGCAACAATTGTGTGTGTGTGTGCTTTTCTCTTTCTCCTGTATTTTGCACGAAGAAGAGAAATATATGACACACATATCCCTTAAGGCGCTTAAATAAATATACGTTTTCTTTTTTTTCTTCATTGGTTATACTTGATATATCTCTTAATTTGGACAGTCAAAATTGTCTAATTACGTCATGATTTTTGTGTTTTAGATTTGTAATAGTCAATGCAGGAATTACGTATTTATACTTTAGTAGTTTCCAACAGATAGACGAGGAAGAATACGGTGGTATGTGGGAGTTGACAAAAGAAGGATTTATGACTTCTTTTGCTGGATTTTTGGTAAGAGTCAGAGATCGCAAAGAAATAATTAAATGTTGTTTTATTAAGTATATATTATTATTTTGTATTAATAGGTAACTTGGATTATCATATATTCTGGATTGCATTTTGACTGATTTATAATACAAAACGTGGGTATAAAAGAGCAACAGCTTTTCACACATGAATTGTTGCTGCTGCCAAATGTATCATACATATGTGCAATAGGTATCCAGTCTCCTTCCATATCAGTCCCATGCAATAGGTAATCACACAATGTTATCGTCATTGATTCTTATATATTGTTATATACAATATGATGTATCCATAAAGATCTTCTTACCTTCTCAAGCTGTGTATTTCAATCCTAACTAATCATCAACACGAAGTTTTACATGCATATGCAATTCTGTTTTCAATCGACAATTATACAAAGGGTTATTTGCAATTCAAAATGCAAAGCATTTCCGACTGCATGTAAAATACATTTATACAAAAATATTGCGTACTCTTTATAAACTATAATGACGAAGTAAATTTATATCTTCGTTACTTCTAACCAATCATCAAACGCTTTCGTCCTCGTGCCTGCACCTGCCTGTACTTCGCGACCACTTGTTCACACTGACTTTTGCTCTGATAATGACGTTGATAATGATCAAAGATATGGTGAAACAATCTTGGCGCTTCGGAATGCGCGCTGAGCAACGATCGCTCGAGCACGTACAGATCGACCGCTTTGTCCTCCACTGTGGAATCCACTCGGGCCAGACCGAAGTCGATCATTACGAATTGGTTTGCGGCTAGAAAATACGAGATTGCGATAAAGCAGAAAAAAAAAAACCAGAAATGAAACGTGTCTAGAACGATCAGGAGTGTCGCGATATTCTGAACACAGCAAACGTCCTACCATCAAGATTGATATTTGACGCGAAACGACACTGTGCTGATACAACAATCCATCATCAAACGACATGATAAAAGCTCGTTTTCACTCGCAACATTTACTACTGTATCATCAGTTTATTGTGTTCGAAACATGCTATGTCGAGTAAGATATCCATACTCGTTACCTTCGCTATGGTCGTTACAAGGCAGTATCTTCCAGTCATTCTTGATCAGTACATTCGACGTGGTAAGATCACCGTGGATAATGTTCCGCGAGTGCAGTTTAGCTACGAGCGAGCCCAATCCGCACCCTATGAATTCCAACAGATCAAGTGTGTCCGTCTTTTCCGAGATACTCTTGTCGATGAAATCTTTCAGCACCATGGCGTTTTCCACGTATTGCATATAGATACTGCGTCGCTCCAAGTCTACGAGATACAAGGCTGGCGTCGCTATTCCTTCGGCACAAAGAAGAATAAAGATGCGAATCCGCGCGATAACCAATCATGCGCTATCGGATAACGTTCGCGAACGCGATTTTTTTTTTTTTTTTTTTTTTTTTTTTTTTTTTTTTTTTTTTTTTTTTTTTTTTTTTTACCTGCGGATTTTTGACTTGGTTAGGTGGCGTGCGTGAGCACAGACATGGTTGTGAGAACGTGCGATATAATAGAGAATTAGCTAGACAAAGAGAATAGGAAAGTTAATGAAAGTAGCAGAAATAAATGTGGAAGTTAAAGAAATAGGAGGAGAAATAAAGGCAAGGTGATCGGATAGAAGAGGGAGGAGAAAACTGGAAGGAAAGGAAGGCGGGAGATAAGAGGTTATGGCGGCAAAAGGTGGCTATAGGAGAGAGAGGAAATGTGCGAGAAAAGCGTAGCAAGTGCAGAGAGTGCAGTAGGCAGAAGTACGAACAGCTTCGTAGGTTCTACGTCGGAAAGAAGCGTGGACAGGTTAAGCGTAAGGGAGATAAACAAAATAAAGAGTATTATTTCCGACAAAGAAAAAGATAAAGAAAAAGAGGAAAGACAATCAAGAAATGGAGACAATGGAGAGATATACAGAGAGAAATGGAGGCAGGAAAACGGAGAGAGGAAGAAGTCAAGGAGCTGGAGGATAAGGAGATTAAAGAGGAGGAGAACTAGAAGGTGGCCAAGAAGAGGAAACTAAGGAAAGAAAACAGAGGAAAGCAAAATCGAGGTACGCTGCAAAGGCAAGAAGTAAAGAGATATGCAGAGAGAAATGGAGGCAGGAAAACGGAGAGAGGAAAAAGTCAAGAAGCTGGAGAAGAGAACTAGAAGGAGGCCAAGAAGAGGAAACGAAGGAAGGAAAACAGAGGAAAGCAAAATCGAGGCACGCTACAAAGGCAAGAAGCAAATGAGGAGCAAAGGAAGGTACAAGGGCAGGAGTAAAGAAAGAATGGAAAGAAAGCCGCTGGAAGATAGCAGAAACAGGTTATGAAGAAGAGACACTACATGTAAGGAAGGAGGACGAGGAAGGAAGTCTAAACATCGTAATATATGATGTATGTGTAATGTATGTAGTAAATGAAATCAAATGAAATGTAATGCAATGTAATGTAAGGTAAAAAGTAATGTAATGTGATGTAATGAGTCTAGTAGTCTAGTTAGAGCAGGAAGGTAACAAAGATAACAGGCGTTCGCAAAAATGAGATATAATAGGATAAGATGTATGTAACAAGAAAATTGCAAGAAAATTGTAAGAAATGTAACCAAGTCCCCTTCGAAGCCGAGAGGTATGAAGGTATAATAAATAACTTACCTGCGGATTTCGCTCGAATAATGGCGCGGGCCTCGGCTTTGATGCGATCCTTGGTGAGGCGAGCGTCCAGATCCGGATGGCGGTAATTCTTCACGAATCTTTCCTTCACCAGGGTCGCCTTCCCCAAGTAAATTGTTTTGTACAGACGCGCCTCCGCACCTTGCGCTATTATCTCCATATCTTTCATCTCAGCTGCAGGATACACGCGCGAGTCAAAATAAATAAATAAATAAATATATATATAAGCATATAAAATATTAAAAATGTTTTATTTAACTAATCTATTATCTAATCTATTATTAACAATTAATAATTATTTCTTGTTAAAAGAAGATAAATGAAGTAGTTTATAAGATTCTGAATCTCGAAAAAATTTATTTGAACGCGAAATGTCCTGTGTTGCAGTAAACTGCAAGTGTTTTACAAATATTACTACTTCTGCAAATGTCGACGATAAAACAAACTCGCGAACTCTCAATTCTAGATTTGGGCAATGAAGAAAGAGGCTCCTCTCGTATATAGGCCGAAACTGAAATCCCGAATTATCGCGAACGCGTTGCAAAATAGCGTGTCTAAATAGACGCAAATATTGTCACTGCGTGTGTGCTGGATCTTGAAAAACATATGATGTGCTCGCTGTAATTACAGTAGTTGTGATAAAGCGAGGCGAAAATGAAACAGGAGTTTCGGCGAACGCGGCACACGCGCGTGTACTTTCGAAATATAATCTAAGCGCGCGAACACAACAACAGTGGATTTGCGTTGTATAAAACGGGAGTTTTTTTTTTTTGCTACTCGTGCGAACAGACACGACGACAGGATCATGCGAGCGAGCGAGTCAAAACCTCAAGGATATAAACCACCAAAAGAGACATGCGGGATCGCAACTTGCGCGAGCCAAGATCAGCAGGTGAAAACGTTTAAGGGCGAGGGTGAGGGTGGCGAAGAGGGTAAAATGCTCGGGAGAGCGCGGCTGCTAGCGCTAGCGAGGCGAGACGAGGGCGAAACGGCGAATCGATCGTTACCCGCAAGCGTCCTGCGCGCTAATCGCTATCCCGGTGCTAGTATTCGCTCGTACTCTGTTCCCGTCGGTCTCTTTTTCATACTACTCGCTATCTCGTCGTCTGCTATTGTGCGACGAGTTTTTTCTTTCTACGTGCGAGTGGCAAACTTTTCATCGCGCGCTCAAAAAGTCAAGGTGCGAACATGAGGGACGAGGTGAAGATGGACGCGAATCGGTTGATCGCCGAAGTCTACAAGCGGCCGGCGCTCTGGAACCAGAGACACATCTCTTATCACAATCGCGAGGTGACCAACCGTGTCTGGATGGAGATCGCGCAAATATTCAATCTTCCCAGTACGTGTGTACCTTTTTCTTGCGAATTTATTTTACGATACACGTAAAGAGTGTTAAATCGCATGTTTCGATCGATCACTCACTCACTCGCTCGCTCGCTCGCTCGCACGACACAACAAGGCGCGCCGTGACGCAACGCAACGCAACGCGCCGCGCGTCCTTCGCCCATGCGTCGACTGTTCGCGCGACTATTTTCTTTCCGACGCACAGAGAGACATGGGCGACACGTGTCGAGTAGACTCGCTGAAAAAATTTTTACGCTCAATCTAGCAGCGACTCGGCAAAAAAAAATGAGTATGTTCATTCATCGATGATTCGTTAAAATCTCTCTCATATGAAATTTTAATTAGCTCAGTTAAAAAATAAATTATATAATTTAAAGCTCTTATACCTAGTTAAAAAAAAATATATAGACAACAGAAATCTATACAGTACATAATTTATTGTTAATAACAATAAACACATATAATTTAATTGTATTATCTTAAACACAACACATGTACACGATCTTTTTTCAATACAACACGCGCGTCTAACCTAACCTAACCTTACTTTTTGTAACCTTACGGTTTGTTGTTACATATTGATGCATAGTTTTTTTTCGCGTCGATATAGTAAATAAATCACCTCACCTACAATATTTTTTATATAAAAGTCGCGAACACTTGCTATTGTTGTTCTTTGATTGTGAATCTCGACTCAAAATTCGAACCGCGAACAGGCACGAACGGCACAAGTCGTTCATTCGGGATCGCATGCGCAAAAAGTGCGAAAATTGCGCATCGACGCGCGCGTTTGCAAGTGCACTTATCTCGCGCGCGTAACGTGTAGGTATCTTCAGAAGAAATAACATTATAATTAAGGATTAGAAATCTTTTCATTATATTATCAACTAAAGATTTCTTTGATGTCCAATCAATTAAGAGAAACACAAGTTACACGAAACTAAAAACATAGATGCTAATACGTTAAAAAAAAACTTGTAGAACCGGTTGTGTTCCATCTTCAAATAAGATATCGGATAATATCTATTTAATGATTAAAACTCCGATTTGCGTTGTTCCACGTGTCGGTAAAATTTACTTATCTGGTAAATGATCAGAAACCAAAAGATAAATTGCACTTTCAGTACCGTATAAGTCATATATATATATATATAAAACAGATAAATTCGTGTAGAAATAGAAAACAATAGGAGATGCACTAGATTCCTATGGATTAGAACCTGTCGAGTAAGCTGAGATTTGTTGGAAGGTGGAACACAACCGTGATGTAAAAAATACAAAAAATATTTAACAGAACAATGGCTCTTAGAAGCAGACACAGATGTAGAGGTGCAAATTTTAACTTTGTTTATTATAAAAGTAAAAGTAGAACGTTGCTTCTAAGAGCCATTGTTCTGTTAAATATTTTTTAAATTGTTGAAGCTTTACACACATCAAAATTATGTAAAAAAATACAAATTATCATTTACTTCATATATTCTACTCATACTTCTCAAAATCTAATGTAATGATATAAAAAGAAAACAATTCGAACACATTTAGAATTGATAACAATACGAATAAAACTTACAACCAAGTCGTTAAAATAACTATAATCCACAAGTAAGTAAAAGTCCGAAACATTTAATTAATCAATAACAACACATTAATTTATTAACAATCTAAAGAGACTAAAAAATACTGCATTTTTCTTTTTCTGTATCTGCAAAGCGATCTCTCCGTTCAAAATTTGCAGAGCCGATGCTGAAGGCAAAGTGGAAGGGTTTGCGCGACACGTTCCGCGCCGAACTAAAGAAAGACCAGGTGTATCGCAAGAGCAAGTATCACCGGAACCGGCCAGTATGGATTCATTTCAAAAGCCTGCAGTTTCTGAAGGAACAGATGCTGCCGCGGCCGCCTATCTGGGAGCGCAATATCGCCAAGACGGAGGATGAGCTGCAACCGAACGAGAGTGACGCCGAGAATGGCATTGCGACTTCCGGTATCGACGGCGGTCTCGATGATCGTGACGCGATCGCCGATCACTTGTTGGCGATGGCTGGCGAAGGTAACCATCATCATCAGCTCAAGATGGACGGCAGTGAAGGCCGGCGTGGCGCGGTGGATGTGAAACGCGAACCCGTCGAGACTTTTGACAATCTAGAGTTGCAGGGCGTCACCGACAATTTGGCGGATAACGAAATGATGCTGCAGAACATCTCGCCCGAACAGGTTTTAATGAGCGACAACGACACCCTAACCGGCGTTGACCCGCTTGAAGGCAATCGCTTCGACGATAACTATTACTTCCTAATGAGCCTGCTGCCGCACATCAGAACTCTCCCAGCCGATCGCAGGATGCTGCTCAGGATGCAGATGCAAGAACTCGTCTACAAGGAAGTCTACAAGAAAACCGCCGACGGCGAGCAAACGTACAAAACTTAAAAATTGTAGCTTATATTCGACATTGTATTATTCTTAATTTATTTTGCGCAAGTCTGTCGATCTAACAATAAGTTACGCAAAGATCTGTGAAAAAAAAAAAAGATAAAAGACAGGTAACAAAACACAGACGACAGACCTTTTCCTTTGTATATTCGATCAGTATATTTCAGTTCTCGAGTAATCTCTCGTCTCTTTCCGAAACAGACTTTAGAAAGTCGAGAAGAGATTCTTTCTGGAAAATAATTAGTACACACACATTTCGTCACACGAACTAACTTTAAACTCGTTGTATGATACAACGTGGCGGAAAAGTGTCTCGCGCACCTATACGCGTGTAAAAAGTCAAGCCAAGTTTCTTCCAGGTCAGCAACACGCAGGTTAGCGCGGTAACTACGCAGTGCTAACCGCGCAAATGAGTGACTCCGCTGTCACGGCGATACGGTTGAGCAACACTGGTGCTTTCTCGTACCTGCAGGTACAACCGTCACGCACACCTACGCGCCTCGGCAAGTCAGTGTCTGTACGCGGTGACACGTTCACACACACACACACACACACACCGTATAACACTGGTGCACAGGTTTTGTGAAGTCGCTCGACGAAGTGCGCAAGCGCGCTCACCATCCCTCCAATCGGATCCAATCGCGTTTCCTTCGCTTTCGCGTTCTCGCGAGACTACACGTTCGTGTCTGTGTTCAGTTCGCCGTCCACTGATCGCACCGTTACACCTCTATTCGGGTGCATATTTCGGGAAGACGTTTTCGGTGCGAACTACCTGTCGGTTCCGATATAAATCTTTTATCTCTCTTTCTTCGTTTGAATTACCTTCACGTTACGTTGTTGGTCGCGTTGTGTCGCGTCGTCGACTTTTTTTATCACGCGGCACAGGTGTTAGAGTTATATACACACAGAGGAATACCTTTGATACTTGTACCCATAATACGCTGGCTACATTCTCATGACATGAACGTCTTCGCAGTAATTGTGCTGCGTTCGGTGTTGTAAAGGTGAGTTAATCCTAAGGAATTTCACCTGAGCGCTTCTCCGCGAACGACCACTTTCGGAAGATTTAGGGCGACGCGCGCGCGTCGTAAAACTGCCGAGAAAATTTCTTTGGTTAGTTTCTCGGATTTATGATTTGCGTCTTTAAAAAAAAAAAAAAAAAAAAAAACGTCGAGTCTCCGAGTTTGCGAGAGTGCATATTTTTCTAATTAAGCGTTGTAGCAAAACAGCACACTAATGACTAATAATTTTTCATCTGTATATTGCGCGAGTCACCAAAGAACGGCACAAAAAAGTGTTCAATTGTTGCAAAGATTATTGACGCTTGAAAGATATTCTTGTAAAAGTAAAAAGATGAGCGTCCAATTGAAAAAGTAAAAGCACATGTATAGATGTAAATTTAATCGCTTATTGACTGAGCGATTTTATCTGGTCAGAAATTCGCACCAGAGGACGGGGACGCTCCGGGATGATTGAAATGTCGAAAACTCGCGCGCGCGCGCGCGCACGCACGCATTAAATATATTCCCGCTTTTGAGTCCGCTCTAAATAGACTGGACTGGAATCCAGTCGGCTCGCCGTGATTCGAAACGCATCTACGCATTCCGTTCCGAGTGACAAGTGCCTGGAGACCGAAACGTTGTGGCCGGTCCTCTCCCGGCGCGTGCTTCGGTAAACAGCCCGACCGTGGCTCGTAAATAAAGACTTTAAGAAGCGAGATTAGCACGGTTTGTGAAAGGACGAGATCTCTTTCTCTGTCTCTCTCTCTCTCTTTCTCTCTCTCGCGCGCGTCTTCGTGTCAGCTGTGTAAAAATGCGAACCGCGAAGAAAAAGATGACGATTAACCTTCCGAGCGTTAAAAAAAATATGCCGAAGCTTTGTAAAGAATTTTATTGTCTCTGACAGTTTTTTTTTTTTTTTAATAATTTATACGTAAAAACTTAACATTGAATAACAATAGATTACAGCAGACTGAATAGAATAAATAAATTGTAGGATTTTGTTGCAAGCTACTTTTGTAAGTTTGAAAATGTAATATAATTTCGTTGTACCATAATCGAGCATTTAAGTGTGTCAAGCAAAACCGAATGAAAATTTAAAGGATTAAGTTACACTCAAGTGATCATTCAGCCATACATTTAAAAACGCTGAATTTCTTATTGCGAAGTGAGCGTAAAACTTCGAATTTTTTTTTTGTGGTACGTTCTAGGGTTAATTTGTTCTTGCGTCAGAGCTATCAACTTGAAAGTCACGAAACACAACCATTGTACATAGAGATTGACGAGATTTAATATTTATGCGAGGTTTAAAGAGTGAATTGTGTACATATAGAGCGCAATTACTGGTTCCTAGTCAGTAACTCGATATACTTGAATATTTATTTGACACTTCAGCCTATATGGCCAAGAAGGGGACTTGGTTACAAAAAGTCTAATCACACACATCCTTCCATACGATCCATACCTTATATAACACTATATAACACTTATTTCACGCTTATTTACATTTGCTTTACAAATCCTTTACATTATCTTCACTCCCATT